CTGATGCTGATGCATCTTGAGCCATTGGCTCAGGAGGAGCTCTGTACAATTTCAATGCCAAGAAGAAGCACAGAAACTCGAGCACTTTCCCAATCACACCCACAATCAGCAAGTACCTGAAAAAATTTAAATTCTAGTCAGAAATCTTCATACAATTTTTTTTAATTGGAAAGTTCAGAACTCCTATAAAATACAATTTCACTAGGCTTTTATTGATACAGTAGTTCTGAGGAGATTCAAAAACTCCTTATATACTGTACTTACATTTTCCAGTACTGTACAAAGAACAATGAACAAATTTTTCTACCGAATATTTATTACACTATACCCATGTCCCCTTGAAAAATTTACAACTCCACCAGGAATCGCATGTTCATTCCTAGTTGAACTCCCAGTTTATTGTTTGAACCAGTTTACTTTTGAGGAAAAAAAGGTTTCCATCCAAAACACAAAATTATTAATACATAATTTTGTCAGGTTTTTCAAATTAAAATCACATTTTCTCCCATATGCAAATTTTATCCAATGCTGCAATTTATTCAATGACTCAGATTCTTTCAAGGGCAATTCCATTACGCCATTTTAAAAGAGATAGTGTTATACTTTTTACTTGAATAAAATCCGAGGCAAAATTGAAAATTCAGAAATTCCAATAATTTTAATGGAGACTGGAAAATGAATTTTTTCTAAAGATAAAAAAAATTTGACAAGAAGAGATTTTTAGCATTGTTTTTATGGTGTTGCAGAAAAATTTACTCGAATACAATTTCATTGCTGTAACAACTATTTCTGATGGCATAGAATGTGGAAACTCAATTCAGTCCAATGCAGAAGAAAAAAATTAGATTTGGAAATTTTCATTTTTTTTTTAAGTCTTGAAAAAAAAATTTCTTTGTGTGTGTTTCATTATTATTAAGTGCTACTACCCTGAGTGCACGAGTACGACACTAACTTTATGCGGGACGTTGACGGCTCAACGCGTGGAGGAAAGCTGTTGCTGCTGGAGATCGTGACCCCAGCTGACCCGACGTCCCCTTGCACATCACAGCCTTCACCAGGACCCTCGGGGATCGTTTCCCACAAACTGCACGCCAAATCCATCAGCTTGCCAAAAAGCACGGGCGCCGGGATCGTGCCCAGCACGCGCAGTAGTGCCAACTGCACACCCAATGCTATACTCCTGTCTGCTTCCTCGACAACCCTGTCCATTCGTCAAAAGCATGGAGGAATGAAAATTTAGTCTCAAATAGAAACATGCAGTATTTGTCTTTCAAGATTGTTGCAAGAAAAAAAGACTCACTAAATTCTACAAACTTTGCTTCACAGGGCCACTAAAAAAAAAATAAGCATGGAGGAATGAAAATTTAGTCTCAAATAGAAACATGCAGTATTTGTCTTTCAAGATTGTTGCAAGAAAAAAAAGACTCACTAAATTCTACAAACTTTGCTTCACAGGGCCACTAAAAAAAAAAATTCTCCATGGATGAAATCCTTTGCCTCTGTGTACACGAGGGTTGTCCCAGATGAACGCGACCTCTGATATTTTTAGAATATGTGTGACTGTAAGAATGAAAGAATCGTGACATTGCCCTTTATGTTCTAAGCTTCTGGGTTTTTTTTAACGCGTTTTAATTCACTGCATGATAATAAGTTAAAACTTTCCAGCTAAAGCCAGAGTTCCCTACCCATCTCACAGGGTGCTTCAAATCTGTCAGCTCAGCTAAAAAAATCATGTTTTCTTGTTTTCACCTACTATCTTCTCCACATTTTAGATAATAGTTGAAACAAGAAAAATTCATGTTTTCAGCTAACCCAAAAAATGGTCAGCACAATGTAGGATGGGGTACCAGAAAGTTTTCACCTACTACTATGCAGTAACTTGGAAACTGATTTTAAAAAACTGAAAAAAAATCCCTGAACTTTATATCATTGTGGGCTACGTAATGAATTTTTTTTAAATCACACTTACTCTAAAAATATCAGAGGTCGCTTCCAACTGGGAAAACCCTCGTACTTTTCTTCTGAATCTAAGTCATATGCAGGATTCGCAAAAGTAAAGCAGTACTGAATTTCCTCAAGTTATCAATAGATGGCAGCTCAAAAAACCCCATATGAAAATATCTAGATAACTGGGTTCCTCAACTCTTCACGCAGACCTTTGAAGTATTCTGAACTGATATCTTCATTATTGACAAGCCTCAATAAAAAACAAAATACGTTAAATGATGTAAAAGCGTCATCAGTACTGTACTGAATTATAAGGCTCAAATCTAGGAAACATTTTAGTCCACCTTAGAGTCGCTGTGAGACTCGGCATGGATGTGATGAAAGTCAAAACCATGATCAGCAACAGGAAGAGAATGGCAACAGGTAAATAGGTGCACCCGGAAGAACAGTTTTTCCCAACGCCGGTTCCCAACAGCAGACTCGTTGTGGCATTCTCATTTCCAGCACTGCTTGCTACACACGAACATCTTGAAAATTCCTGCATTAAAAACGAGAGAAAGAGAAAAACTTGAAAATAAAATCGTTGTAATAAATTAAACAGAGAATGTAGAAGGATTATTTTTTTAATTCTTGTCAATACAGTGCAATAAAGGTACAGTATTGTACTCCCTTTATTCAGAATATGAGGAGATACAGTGAGACCCCAAGATGCGGACGTAATTGGTGCATCAAGAGTGTGGTGATGTGGGAATGTCCCAAGTTGAGCCTCATTTTCCCTTACACTTCAATGCTAATGTATAGTAATTAATTGGTTCTCCTTTTTGTCAAAAATTAGAAATGAGTCCTCAAACAATTTAACAAAAATTGTTTTCCTCAACATCAAGTTGTAGATAACAACAGTGCAAAACAAAACCACATACAATCTGCTCTTTTGATATCAAAAAGAGATTAAAAATCAAAGAAAAAGAATAAATCTTGCTAGAACATCCACAGATGATATTTAAAAAAAACTCTGAAAAAGGAATCACAAAATACCTTTCTTTTGATCATAAATTAGAGTGAATTTATCATGAAATATTTTTTTCAAATTTTGTGAATATAAATAGCTTCAAAGTTCTTCAAAATAAATCAAAATTAAAAATTAAATGTTTCAATTTTTGGTAAAACTTCAGAAAAGTGTCCCTGACTTGAGGCAATGGCCAGATGTCAGGCCTGATTTTTGTTGTTGTTTTCAAGTGTCCTTAAGTCAAATTGTCCATATGTCAGGATGTCCACATATCAGGGTCTCACTGAACAATATTCATAATAATGATAATATTATATAAATATCTATATTTATTTATTTAATATATTATATATTGTTATTTACAGTAATAATATTCATGAGTAATTTCTGTCATCTGTGTAAAAAAAAACCTCCCGACGATTTCCCAGCAACTTTCAAAGCTTAGGTACCCCTCACGTTCTCCCCACAAAAAAAGAAAAAATATTCAAAATGTGCAAAATATACCATGAAATTATCTGCGGATCGCTGGGATTCGCTGCAGCNAAAAAAATTCAGAACTTTTTTTTTAAAGAAACACACACAAAGTAATAATAATTCACGATGATGGGACTCACGTGCTCATGCTGTGATTGAAATACGCCCTGCAACTGCCGAGTTGCGCACCTCCTTTGCTGTTGCTGCTGGAGATCGTGACCCCAGCTGACCCGACGTCCCCTTGCACATCACAGCCTTCACCAGGACCCTCGGGGATCGTTTCCCACAAACTGCACGCCAAATCCATCAGCTTGCCAAAAAGCACGGGCGCCGGGATCGTGCCCAGCACGCGCAGTAGTGCCAACTGCACACCCAATGCTATACTCCTGTCTGCTTCCTCGACAACCCTGTCCATTCGTCAAAAGCATGGAGGAATGAAAATTTAGTCTCAAATAGAAACATGCAGTATTTGTCTTTCAAGATTGTTGCAAGAAAAAAAGACTCACTAAATTCTACAAACTTTGCTTCACAGGGCCACTAAAAAAAAAATTCTCCATGGATGAAATCCTTAGCCTCTGTGTACACGAGGGTTGTCCCACATGAGCGCGACCTCTGATATTTTTAGAATAGGTGTGAATGTAAAAATAAAAGAATTGTGACATTGCCCTTTATGTTCTAAGCTTCTGGGATTTTTTTAAACGCTCTTTAATTCACTGCATGATAAGAAGTTAAAACTTTCCAGTTAAAGCCAGAGTTGCCTACCCATTTTACAGGGCGCTTAAAGTCTGTAAACTCAGCTAAAAGAAAGTCCATTTTTTTCACCTACTATCTTCTCCACACTTTAGATAATAGTTGAAACAAGAAAAATTCATGTTTTCAGCTAACCCAAAAAATTGTCAGCACAATGTAGGATGGGTACCAGAAAGTTTTCACCTACTACTATGCAGTAACTTGGAAACATTTTTTAAAATCTGAAAAAAATCCCTGAACTTTGAAAAATTGTGGGCTACGTCAGAATTTTTTTTTTCAAATCACACTTACTCTAAAAATATCAGAGGTCGCTTCCAACTGGGAAAACCTTCGTACTTTTCTCCTTGATTTTTCTCCTGAATCTAAGTCATGCAGGATTCGCACAAGTAGAGCAGGACTGACTTTCCTCAAGTTATCAATAGATGGCAGCTCAAAAAACCCGATATACAATTATCTACATACCTGGGTTTCTCAACTCTTCACGCAGACCTTTGAAGTAATCTGAACTGATACCTTCATTAATGACGAACCTCAATAAGTAACAAAATACGGTAATAGATGTAAAAGTGTCATCAGTACTGTACTGTACAGTATTATAATGCTCAAATCTATAAAAAATTTTAGTCCACCTTAGAGTCGCTGTGAGACTCGGCATGGATGTGATGAAAGTCAAAACCATGATCAGCAACAGGAAGAGAATGGCAACAGGTAAATAGGTGCACCCGGAAGAACAGTTTTTCCCAACGCCGGTTCCCAACAGCAGACTCGTCGTGGCATTCTCATTTCCAGCACTGCTTGCTACACACGAACATCTTGAAAATTCCTGCATTAAAAACGAGAGAGAGAGAAAGAGAGTTAAAAATAAAATCGTTGTAATACATTAAACAGAGAATGTAAAAGGATTCTTTTTTAATTCTTGTCAATACAGTGCAATAAAGGTACAGTATTGTACTCCCTTTTTTCAAAATATGTGGAGATACAGTGAGACCCCAAGATGCGGACGTAATTGGTGCATCAAGAGTGTGGTGATGTGGGAATTTCCCAAGTTGAGTCTCATTTTCCCTTAGACTTCAATGCTAATGTATAGTAATTAATTGGTTCTCCTTTTTGTCAAATATTAGAAATGAGTCCTCAAACAATTTAATAAAAATTGTTACCCTCAACATCAAGTTGTAGATAACAACAGTGCAAAACAAAACCACATACAATCTGCTCTTTTGATATCAAAAAGAGATTAAAAATCAAAGAAAAAGAATAAATCTTGCTAGAACATGCACAGATGATATTTAAAAAAAACTCTGAAAAGGGAATCACAAAATACCTTTCTTTTGATCATAAATTAGAGTGAATTTATCATGAAATATTTTTTTCAAATTTTGTGAATATAAATAGCTTCAAAGTTCCAGTTTTATTTAGTTTTAATTTTTAATTTACAAAGTTAAAAACCATTTTGAAGTCTTTTCACAGGGACTGAACTCCGTTACCGGTCTACAGTCCGGACTAAAAACAACAACAAAAGTTCACAGGAATTGTCAAATTGTCCATATGTCAGGATGTCCACATATCAGGGTCTCACTGAACAATATTCATAATAATGATAATATTATATAAATATCTATATTTATTTATTTAATATATTATATATTGTTATTTACAGTAATAATATTCATGAGTAATTTCTGTCATCTGTGTAAAAAAAAACCTCCCGACGATTTCCCAGCAACTTTCAAAGCTTAGGTACCCCTCACGTTCTCCCCACAAAAAAAGAAAAAATATTCAAAATGTGCAAAATATACCATGAAATTATCTGCGGATCGCTGGGATTCGCTGCAGCCGGCGAAACAAGGAGAATAATAAAGAAGCCCGTCAGATCCGCACATGGGATCGTATTGGGAGACATCACAGTTGCACGCTGAGTTACAGGCGTGGAACAGGTCCAAATTCCTGAAATGAAAAAAAATTGAAACAAAACAAAATACACACCTTTGAATAATGAAAAGGAACTTGTTCCCCCCCTCATGAGGTCAATGAGAAGACCTCAAGTCTTCTCATTGGATTTTGATTCATGCCCGTTTTAATTCGAATAGCATTTGATTATTTCATCACTTTATTTTCAGTTTTCATTCAAAACTGAAAAAATGTCCAGGGGTTAAACATATTTGAAATGGAGAGGTTTGAGTTAATGTGGCTCAACTGTAAAAAAAAAATGCAACAAGAACTGGAAATTTCCCAATAAGTTAAAACCATCAACACCCACCGATCAAAAGCAGACTCATCATCAACATCATCGTCGTCAGCAGAGTTCCGTGGTCCGAGATCAGCGCTAGCGTTGCCACCGGCAAACAAGAGCCGCGAGGGCTCGTAAGCTGCTGTCACGCCCGCGATCCCCACGTCGTCGCAGCTGAACACAAAGATGAGTGTCGACAGGCCAGCCAGGAATGTCGACACACAGCACATCTTCATGATGGCCGGTAACTTCATGTCGTAATGCTTGATCAGGTAGCCGCCCAGCAAAGTGCCTCCGCCGGCGCCGGGAACTGCAACCACTCCTGAAAAGTGATGATTGAATGAATGAACAGAACACTTTAATTTGCCGCTTTTCAGCGTTCACAAGGTTCAATCAAGATTTCCACAGCCAAACCCCCTTTCCACCCAACCCAAATCCTCTCAATGACATTTTAATCACTTCATAGCAGGAAAGCACAAATTGATAACGAAAATAAAAGATGTTAGATGATGCAACAAACTGCCCACTACGGTAAATCTGAAATTACAGCGGTTTAAGACATTCTATGTTAAATTGTCTGCAATTTACCCAGAATTGAGTACAAGACTATTGGCAGAAGATTTTGTTCATTTTCTCAAGTGTAACATCAATAAAGGCAGAGAAAAGATCCTAATCACTCAATTTTGTCATGATAATTGTGATGTTGTAGACTCAAGTACAGTAAGACCCCCACAAGCAGACACCTCAACCTGCGGACTCTTTGACATGGGGACACTTATATTATCATAAAAAACTAATAAAAAAGGCCCAACATGAGGACACGGACTCAACATGGGGACATTTTGTTATAAAATTGAGAATAAAATTCAAGCCAAATTACAAGAAACAGATATTTCCAACCCTAAAATTGATTCAAGAAAAGTTCTTGGGCATTTCTGTCACCAATTTACCATTCATTTAGCTAATTAACAAAATTCCCTCCAGCATATAGGGACTTCCTTCTCTCTTCTCCACTTGAATATTATTTTAACAGAGAATGTCAAAATTTCTATGCACTGTACAGAGGTATCAGTATTCAATTCCCCAAAAGTCCATATTGTGTTGAAATATATTGATTGGACTCATTTTGAATTGGAAGACAATTTTTGTTTTCATGGGCTTATGGTGAGTATTTTCTACATAAAACACCAATTAAAAATTATATAATATAAGTCTAAGGGAAAATGAGACTCGACTTAGGGACACTCTTGATGCACCAATTACGTCCACATCTTGGGGTCTCACTGTAAATTACTAGCTGATCTTGCTTGTGGCAATACTAAAGTGATGATTTTGCATGAAAAAAGTGTTTAATTAAGAATTTGGTAAGTGTATAGTATTTTTTTTTACAAATACAGTATAAATAGCTCAATTTGTTCAAGAGACATCCAAAATCTGAAAAAAAAAATATATAAATTTTTGTTCTATATAAATGGTGAATAATTTTCTGCATCGCGAGACATATTCTCCAGATGTCGGGACAGATTTTTCTTTTTCAAAATTTTATTCGCAAGTGTCCCAAAGTCGAATCGTCCGTATGTCGGGGTCCCAGCACACTACTCATTCACAGTACAGAACAGTATACAGCAGTTGAAATCAGCACCCAGGTCTCATTCTCACCGACGATCATAGCCGCTAGTCCCGCAGTGAGTCGGAATTGGTTTTCAAAGTATTTCGGCAGAAAGGTGGCAAAGCCTGCGAGGAGAAAGCCCTCGGCAGCCCCTGCCAACGTGAGGAACAAGAAAGTTGGGTTGCCAGCCACGACTCTGACGAGAGCCATCGTCAGTTCCCGCACGTGGATCTTCGTCACCGACGAACCCTGGGCCTTTTTCGAATTGCTCGCCTTGGTGTTTTCCAGCCACTTGGTCAGATGCACGTTCGACTGATGCGTTTCTCGTTTTCTCGTCAATTTCAGCTCCTTCCCTCCTGATGGAAAAAAATAAAGGCGAAAAGATGATAATGATGAGCAAGGAACGCTTTAAAATCCTGCAACATGCGTCATCCGAAGGAAAAAAATTTTCTTCTGGTCCAGATTTTTTGCGACATGAATTTCCAAAAATCATGAAACATTATTCATGACGCCAATATTTTCAAGATCGAGGGAGAATCAGCATCGAAGTACATTTTCACTTGAATGAATTATTTTAAACCTATACTGCGGTTATCAAGTGTTCGATATATCAAGTGTTTTGATGTCCAATATACATTTCAAAATCGTGCAATGCGTCAAACGAGGACAAAAAAAAACGATGAACTCAAACGGCGAAGTAAAATTATTTTTCAGCCCAGATTTTGGAGAAAGATAAATTTCAACAACAAAAAACCCATACAAATGATACCACCGGCATTTTCAAGTTCGATGAACAATCAGCAATCAAGTTATATTTTCATCACATGAAAGATACATTAAAATATGTTACTTTAAAATTTAAAAAATCTAATACAATTGAAAAATGATTACGGTGAATTAAAAAATAATACTCTTCGCCGTGTTTATTACGGAAAAAAGTCGGAGATAAACATACTCAAATCTTTTCTCATGCAGCTTGGCAGTTTATAAAATTGTTGACGTCATTCCGAGGATCTTCGAAGACTTCTGAGTTCTGTTCATCATATTTATTCGTGACCGAAAATTAATGCGAGCAGGAGTTCCATTTTCGAAACAAAGGTGCATTTTTCTCTCTACTTTATTTATTTAATTTAAATTTTTAAAGAAATGAATAAACAAACCTGGAAGGGTTTTTGGAAGAGCAACGATAGGAGGAAATATCAAAACACCGAAAATCGCGGAGCCTAAAAATCCAATCCACCAGGCTCCGACCCAAAGATTATTCTCCGGAGTGAGTCCCAACCTAAGTTGAATCGAAAGAAAAAAAACACATCAATTGACGTCAGCGTTTGGATAATTTTGAATTGTTAATTCATGATACAATTCCTACTTTTGAGCGTCCAACGAATCAAAATCTGTAAAAATCTGCAGCGTTTGGCCCCCGACAACGTATCCAACAGCAGGTCCCACGGATGCCATCGCGTAGAAAACACCTGCGAAAGGAAGAAACATTTTAAAATCTTCAACGTTTTTCAAACATTCACATTTGACTCATCGTCATCAAACGCTTACATTTATTTCACCATGTAAGGAAAGTGTCACTGGAAACTCATTCTTAGTTCAGCTTAGTACGTGCATCGGTGAGATTTAAAAATTACTTGGTTTTAATTATGTCGAAGACTTCTTTCATCTGGTCATGTTAGCGATTCAGGCGACATCTCGTGATCTCACGGTCTCAAAAATTGAGGTCGGGAGTTGAGCTATGGAGTATAAACGAACAATTCTTGTTCATTATGATCTGTTTACGGAGCAGATAATTGTCTTCCAACATTTGAATTAATTTCTAATGATTCACTCGTTCATATATTTTGAATACTTGAAAAAAAAAATCGAATAGTGCGGAAAGCTCTCGGCTTTTTTCCAGTGAAATCGCTTGTATAAATTTTGAAAAAAATATCTTATTTCGAATACCGTACTTTTCCGATTTCGGTTAAACGAAATTCGTACGCAATTTGTGAAAAATTTCAAGGACTGCGTAATGAAAAAATGAAAAAGACGTGATATACGTGATGGCGTAAGATATTACTCCTAAAATTTGCGATCAATATAATAAAAATCGACCTTGAAGCCACAGTCACGACAAAAAGATTTAAAAAATACGATCCCTTCTTTTCCCAAAATTATACGGCAATCCATCACGTGACTAACGAAGGGCGGATAATTTCGGGAACACAGCCTGAATAAAACACAGTGTCTGATCACAATGTCAGAAACAGAAACAAAATTCAGTGCATTCTTCACGAATAGCCAAAGAAAATAAAAATCGTTATCTTCCCACGTATAAACGTTGTCATGAAAATTACGAACAGATCTTCGAGACTCGAGAAATATTCCTGGATCTGCTTGGAAAAAAATCGGTGCATTTCTCAATTACGACAAAAAATGAAGGAACAAATTTGCGTGATTGAAGCAAGGTCTCCTTTGCTTCACCTCAATTGTAAAAAAAAACTCAATTCGAACGATTAAAATGCTAATTTAATTTTTTTTGAAGAGGAAAAAAAAGAACGATGAAATTTTCCTGCGCAGAATAAATGAGATTTTTCTCCCGAACGAAGCAATTTTATTTTTAAGTTCAGGCCTTTTTAAACATAAAAAAGCAAGCGTTATACGAGACGAAAATATTCTAAAGCGATGAAAAAACCGTCAATTTCGGTTCGAATTCAGATTATCAAGAGCTTTTTTATCGTTTTCAACGGAGTACCACATGCACATATTTTCAATAAATTGTTGGAAAAACTGAGGTGCACGTCATAGTCAAATCAGAAAATTTATAGTGAACATTTTTTTCATTCAAAACTGTTCTCTCTCCACTTTCAAAAATTTTTCGGAGATTTTAATTTAATAATACTGTTACAGGTACTGTATTTGTGAGATAGAAGAAAATTGCCATTGAATTCAATTTTCAAGTGGGCTTCAATATATATATTTTTAAACTTTTTTCGAATTCAAATTTTCGTAATTGGTGAAAACTAAGATGCGCGTCTTATGCGGGGATAATATTTTTTCCAAGATTCTACAAATCTGAAATTTTTCAACAGGAAATGAGCAATCAATCTAATTTTTTTTTTTGAAATTCAAAAGAGCTCCAAAGCTCAGATGAACTTCTTATTCGAGGGCGCGTGCTGCAACTCGAGTAAATATACAGTACGTCATTTAAAAATCGGTCTCGGAATATTCCCCAGAATTCCTGAATCGATGAATACTGTACAAGAAATTGAAATGAATGCAATCGAACCTAGGTAGACAGAGGATGATTTGGAGGCGACATTCTCATCCACATAAGTCACGGCGAGGGTGTAGAGTGGCGTGGCTCCCACGCCGATCAGGAACTGGGCCAAGTAGAAAACCCACTTGTAGAACGCCAACGATTCCTCAGTTGGAAGACAATCAGACGCACCCTTCAATAAGAAAAATAAATGAATTACCTTTTAGTCATCAGCATAAGATCATAGTTGAACTGAAACAATTATTTTGCACACTTCTCTCTCTCTCCATGCAGATTCAGCATGGTGATGAAATTCTTTAAATAAATGTACCAACACCAAGCGTCTCATGGCGTATTGAAACTTTTATTGTGACAATAACATCAGAGGGATGTCTCAATAGTTGAACAGCGACGAAAATTTGAAAAATATTAGACTAAGAATTTGAGAATAAATTTCCGATTAAGTTCCAATATTTGTCATTTTTCAGAATCTTAGGACTATTTTCAGTACGCTGTGAAATAAGTGAAATAAGTATGAGAAAAAACTAAAAATTTAAGACAAAATTGAAAATCTAAGAAAAAACTAAAAATCCAAGAAGAACCTAAAATTCTAAGAAGAACCTAAATTCTAAGAAGAACCTAAATTCTAAGAAAAAACTAAAAATCTAAGAAAAAACTAAAAATCTAGGAAGAAACTAAAAATCTAAGAAGAAACTAAAAATCTGAGAAAAAAATAAAAATTACAAAAAAATCCAAGAAAAAACCTAGAATTAGAGAAAAAACTGGACAGTCTTGGACCATATTAAGATGCTGCTAACAAAATTATTCCTAAAAATCTTTTTAAAAAATGGTAACGAAGTCTTATAGAACTTCATAGAAAAATTTATGTAATTTTCAAATATTTACGATAAAATTTTCCATGAAGTTCTCAGATAATACCGAAATATTAAAGTCTACGGAATCACCAAAAGTGGAGAAAAGTACTGTATTAGAATACGGCTGAAGAAAGTAGCCCTTTAAAATCTATAACACAACAACTCTTGGAAGTTCATTGGAAACTTAATTTAATTTTTTCACGTTTTTACGATAGACTTCTCTATGAATGTCCAAGACTTGAGTATTTTACAGATGTCTACGAATATTTTCTTTAAAACACCGTGAAATGAGTAGAAAACTTCCGCCGTGAAAGAAAATTTTCCACCTCTCATCATGAGATTGGCTGAAAAATGGTCATGGAAATCTTTTCAAAAATACCGAAGTTTTAAATTTCCATAGAAAAATGTACAGTATACAGTATCATCTTTTCAAGTTTTTTCCCCATTTTTGGACATTTTCAACTAAGCGCGTCATTGGGACAATCCTCGTACTAAATCCACTACAGTATTACAGGACAACCAATGCAAAACCCCGACAGTAATTCTCTTCAAAAGGACATGCGGTAAATTTGTCTCGAATTTCATGTTACACATATAAAATTCGAAGAAGAAACAAATCAAGATATTCAGTCCGAACGAAGGCTTCGATTTCAGCTTCCTTTCCTCGCATCCCTTCATGAATAACTCGCATTTCATCACATAAAAAATAAATAAAAAATCGTGTCGCCTGCTCTGCCAACGAAATCGACGCCAAAGCCGCCCAATGAATAATTGCCCGCATAAAAAGACGACGCAGAGAAATCATGGAGCAATCCTTTCACAACTCGGCGACAACTAAGGAAGCGTAAAACTTTGCCATCATATGATGTCACCAACGACATTCGGGGCTGACGAGTATAGTGTAGTAAGTGCTGTGTATATCATCTATACTCCCGTTACGCAACCAATTAATGTCGGCAACCGATGACTTCATTCACTCCTGCACAAGTTCACTCAACGCAAGCTTCAAGAGAACCTCTTTCAAAATAAAATGGGGGAGGGGGGAATTAATCAACGTTGAACGAGAATATGGAGTCATGTTGAAAAAAAATAAAAGGGTTCCTGAAGGTTTTAAAGAGTCAGAGAAGCATCGGTGATTGAGTGAAGGGAACGACCAAATCTGACACAGTAGAGCCTCTTCAAAACACATTTCAAAGGGATCAGCAAAAAAAAAAACGAATTACAGTATCTATAGAGATTTTGATTCAGGGAAACAAGCATTTGTGTTGGCAGAATTGAGAGAAGTACAGGAATTTGTGATTGGTGATATTCTGGGCCTCAAATTGTTTCTTGTATGAGTTGACCTGATGCTAAACTTGGAAGCAAGGGTTTAATTCCAGATTAGTCTTTCACTTCCTTTCGAAACACATCAAGTTAAAATCTTATTGCTTTTCTCTTTCCCAAGTCAATAAAACAATAGTCAAAAGGCCTCCAAAAAATATAGTTCTGGTAATTCTGCAGGTTTGAGAGGGAAAGTCATCAAGTTAGAAAGGTTTTTAATGTACTGTTTCTACAGGAATTCAGACATGTACATTGAGGCCCACACATGCAGACTATTTTACATAGGGACATTTATTTTTCGATAAAAAAGGCATAAATAAGACCCAACATATGGACACTGACTCAACACGCAGACATTGCGTGATAAAATTGCCAATAAATTTTAGGAAAATTGATCTTCATCGGGCTTAATTGCAAGAAACAGATATTTCCAACCCAAGATCTATGCAAGAAAAATTCATTGGTATTTTTCCCATCCTTTTCCCATCCATTCAGCTAATTAAAAAAATTATATACAGCATAGAGGGACTTCCTTCTCCCTTTGTGACTTGAATGTTATTTTTACAGATGCCAACATTGCAATGTACTATACTGAGGTTCACTATTCAATGCTACAAATGGTGTTATTGAAAATATATTCAATGAATCAAATTCAAGTGACAAAACATTTTTTTCATGGAATTCCAAAGAATATTTCTTCCATAAAACACCTATTAAAATTATATAATGTAAGTCTACAGGAAAACAAGACTAAACTTAGGGACATTTTGACTTGGGGACACTCTTGATGCACCAATTACATCCGCATCTGCGGGTCACACTGTATTTTAAAAAAGGACAAAGGGATAGTTTTGACCTATTGAGATTCAACTGTAATAAAATATAAAACGTAACGTACTTGCATCCTCAATTTTGCAAACTTTTCGTTATTACAAACCAAAATTTTCTACGTTTCGCAAAGAATAAAACTCCTTTCCATAATTAACGCCTTGCAAAGATTGTCCCAAGCTCGACTTCACTTCAATGCCCAACTTTGCTGCTTGGAACGTTACTTGTAGATGTCGCCGGAATCAAAAATTATACGAAAAACACCAACTAAAATAAATCTACAAATTAAACAACGCTCAACAAAATTTCAGAAATCAGGCTTTCGAGTGAAAAATAATTGTCTCCTTCGAAAAAGATGGAATAATTTGTCAAATTATAGTTTACAAAAATGCAGAGTTATTATCTCATGATACTCTGAGTGTCTCATTGAAAACAGCTGCAGGAACAAAAGTTTCAACACAATTCAGGCGACACCTATGCAATGACATACGAAAAAAAAACCCGAAATAAGGGATATCAGACGCTGAAGGTAGAAGAAGACCCGTCACTTCTGCAAAAATAAAAATACACGAGACTTGATTTAATTGCATTTAAAATATAGAGTATGCTCACTATAATGGTGCGGAATTAGCCCCAGTTTATTCTTTGTCAAATATTTTTCAATTACCTTTCTGAATTCCATTCGAAAGAAGGGAGCATTAAAAATCTCTCCCAAAACCTCGAAGGCTTTTCCCCGGCAAACCTCCGCAAATGGAATTTTTTTAGAGGCCTTTTGGCTAATATTTTATTGACACAGGAAAGAGAAGAGGAGTTTTAAAAAATGAACTTTTTGATGTGTTTTGAAGGGAGGGAAAGACTAATTGAGCAAATGAACCTTTGCCTCCAAGTTCACCATCCTGGCAACTCATTCAAGAAGCAATTTAATTCCCAGAATATCACCAATTACAATTGTATTGGATTATTCTTTCCTTCCTCCAATAACACAGACGCTCTTTATTTCACTACTACTAACTTGACTATGACCTAAAAAAAATACTATAAGAAATAATAGTGTGATCAAGCATCACAAAATAATAAAAATGAAAATGCCGGCAATCAGCCTTTTGAAGGCCAAGAACACATATTTAAGGGGTTTCCTTGAATATATGTTCCTAGTTTTTCAATAATTTATTTTATGATCAAGTTGAATGCAGAGAATAAGAGTACAATGCACAAGACAGATTTGAATAATAGCACAGGAGTAACAGATTTGTGCACACAAATCACCAGGAATAAAAAGACAATTGTTGTTGAAGAGTTTAGGACAGACTGAGACTCTTAAAATTGAATTATTTGTAGGTTTGATTGAGGAGGAAACCTTCATTGGTTTCTCCTCTCTTGTTTTCTCCTCAACAAATAGTATTGTAATAAATTAATAAAAAATATAATACAAGACTCAGTTCAGCTCAGGGTTCTTCGAACGGTGTTACACGGTTTTTAAAGGACGAAATATTAGCTCAAAAGCTTCTTCAATTTGATTTTTTTTTTCTTTTACCCTTTGAAATTCTACATGAAGAGGAGCAACGGTCGCAGAAAACCCCCAGGGAGTTGAACACCACGCATAATCACAAAAGTTTGCTGTCAGGGCCTGACAACCAAACGTGATTAATTTTCCTGACTGTCTGCACTTCAGTACAGTACTGCTGTATATAGACACTATTATAGAGCGTAACCTTTCAATTATTGACCTCGAATTAATCGCTCTGATCAACTCTCCGGCGATAATTAGAAGGCGGCAGACAGAGTATGAGATAGAGATATTTAAAAATAAAAAGAGAAAGAAAGATTAAAAAAAAAGAGACATAAAAGGGGCAACACCTTGAGCTCAGAGCACAGATGAGCAGCTACGGGTCCGTTGGTGCTGGTGCTGGTGCCCGTACCCGTAGTGGCGTTGAGCAACCCGGGGTCCCGACTTCGAACGGCGACGTAAACCGGGGTCGTAAAATGCGGCAAGCAAAACACGAAAAACCCGGCAGCCATAAACAGCACGCCTGCACTCACCCACTTGGGCTTACTAGCTTGACTTCGACCTAAAAATAAACAAAATATCATAATTAAAAGTAAAAAAAAAAATAATAATAAAATACGCATTATAGAATATTTAGTTCAGGGCTCCTCGAACGGTGTTCAAGAGTACGAAATATTCATCGATAAAGATATTTCGAGGATAAATAATAAGCCAAGCCTTGAGCCATATTCTTCACGAAATAATTGCTGAAAAATATACTTCACTTAATCCTCGAAGACACTGTTTATTACAGTACAGTACTTGAATTACTCAATTTCACGAATTACGCAATAAATTATTTTTTTTAAGTTATGGATAATACTGCATTGAAATTTTTCCGACTATATAATGCACCTTTAAAAATAGGGTTATTATTCCCTGCCTTAAATTGAAAACGGATTTAAAGTGGACATATACTTTAAATTACATGTCTGGCATTTTTTGATGGGATGAAACGCGTCAAAATGCAAAATTTTGAAATCCTGTGCATAGAAAGTCAACATCGAAGTTCATCTCAGTTCTCAAGGTTTCAAAACAAGGCAACCGGAACAAAGTTTTCATTTCATTGAATTATTTCTTCTTGCCATGTTTTGGACTCTGAATTTGAACTTGAATTAAATATGAAAATGAATTACGGAAAATGCGTCAGGAGTCAGATAAAATTCCCTCGCGGCCTTGATAAACGAACTGAATTATTTATTCAAACGTAGATACAACAGAATCAGGTCCCTTGACAAGCAAGAATTGCCATATTAGCTATTTAGCAAATGTTATTATAATATACAGCAATCATGAATTTGCACATTAAAATTAAAGACTCGGATTTTAGAGAAGAAAAATACTTTATTCAGTCCGCGTTTCGTAGAGAAAACTACTTGAATTGAATGTCTGTCGTGTTTCCATCTATTCCAATTACGCATTAAACTCGTGATAGTAAGTTTTAAAAAGGCGTGAATTTGTAGATGAACAAGACACACAAGGAAGATGTTATGAAACGACTTTTTCCTCNACCCGGGGTCCCGACTTCGAACGGCGACGTAAACCGGGGTCGTAAAATGCGGCAAGCAAAACACGAAAAACCCGGCAGCCATAAACAGCACGCCTGCACTCACCCACTTGGGCTTACTAGCTTGACTTCGACCTAAAAATAAACAAAATATCATAATTAAAAGTAAAAAAAAATAATAATAAAATACGCATTATAGAATATTTAGTTCAGGGCTCCTCGAACGGTGTTAAAGAGGACGAAATATTCATCGATAAAGATATTTCGAGGATAAATAATAAGCCAAGCCTTGAGCCATATTCTTCACGAAATAATTGCTGGAAAATATACTTCACTTAATCCTCGAAGACACTGTTTATTACAGTACAGTACTTGAATTACTCAATTTCACGAAAAACGCAATAAATTATTTTTTTTAAGCATTGGATAATACTGCATGGCAATTTTTCCGACTATATAATGCACCTTTAAAAATTGGGTTATTATTCCCCGTCTTAAATTGAAAACGGATTGAAAGTGGACATATTGTAAAATACATGTCTGGCATTTTTTGATGGGATAAAACGCGTCAAAATGCAAAATTTTGAAATCCTGTGCATAGAAATTCAACATCGAAGTTCATCTTAGTTCTCAAGGTTTCAAAACAAAGCAATCATTAGCAGGAACAAAGTTTTCATTTCATTGAATTATTTCTTCTTGCGATGTTTTGGACTCTGAATTTGAACTTGAATTAAATATGAAAATGAATTACGGAAAATGTGTCAAGGGTAAGAAAAAACTCCCTCGCGACCACTAAAACAAATTGAAGTACATTATTTATCCAAACGTAGATTAAACAGAATCATGTGCCTTGACAAGCAGGAATTGCCAAATTAGCGACTTAGCACATTTAATTCTAATACTGTATACAGAAATCAGGAATTCGCGCATGAAAATTAAAGACTCGGATTTTAGAGAAGAAAAATACTTTATTCAGTCCGCGTTTCGTAGAGAAAACTACTTGAATTGAATGTCTGTCGTGTTTCCATCTATTCCAATTACGCATTAAACTCGTGATAGTAAGTTTTAAAAAGGCGTGAATTTGTAGATGAACAAGACACACAAGGAAGATGTTATGAAACGACTTTTTCCTCGCAAAAAAAAGGCGGATTTTTTAGGTTCAAAGCATTGAACCACCAAATCCATCAGAACAGGTCAGGAGGGAACAGCCTCATTTTCCCTTTGATTCCCGCAAGTCGTGACCCATGATGTGAACCGACAGAAAGTACTTGGAACAATGCAATAACAAAAAAAGCGAAGGTTGAAGATTTTAGGGCAACTAGCGTCAGTCCACGCGAAAATTCGAACGAGGTCAAGACTTATTCGATCCGTCATTCTCTTTAAAAAAAAAAAAAAAAAAAAAACTATACATTTACNAATCAATAAAAAAAAAAAAAAAAAAAAGTGGTTTTACATTTCCATTGGTGAGGAAAAGAAATTACTTCTTTCGCAGTGAAAATAATGTGAACTTTCAAAACGAATGAAATGATTTTATGTGCGCAAAAAAAAAGAAGAGAGAACTCCATTTAGAAACGAGACTTTTTAACCCCGTTACGGAATGATTTGGTACGTTATTTTTGACCAGAATGACCCATTAAAAGCGTTCAATCAAGTCCTCGTTGCATAAAACTAAAAAATACAACCAAATAACTCAAACCTGTGAACCTTGATAACTCAAACCTCCCCAAGTCAAACACCCCCCTAAGTTGATTTTTCCTCCAGGTTCCCATCTGAATCCCCTTAGAAACAATACATTAAAAACCTCCTCAAGTCAAAAGGATTTTACCCTCAAACCTCCATGCGTCGAAGTTTCTGTGGTCTGTTGGCCATTATTTTCTTGACACAATAAAGAAAAAACAATAAAATCATAAATTCATGTGTTTTAAAAGGAAGCAAAATACTCAATTGGGCAAATGAACCCCAGCCTCCAAGTTCAGCATTCTTTCAACTCATTTCAGAAGCAATTTAAGCTCCAGCATTTCACCATTTTAAATTTTTGGCTGTTATCCAGGAAACATTTACGTTTGTTTCAAGCACGCTCTTTCAAGTTACACTTTGCCTCAAGGAAGTGCACAAGATGTTTCCCCTGCAGCTGTTTTCTTGTTATGAATTTTCTCTTCTCATGTCACCCTGCGTCAACAGCATGATGCATTTTCTTTCTTTGAAAAGCATATAAAACTCCCCCTCACTGCTGACAGTGATGGATACCTTTTGCGCAGCCGCACCTCTGAAATATGCATTTCAGGGGAAAATATCTTTGGTGTATTGTGAGTATATATTGTATGATTATGTAGTATATTTAAAATTTAGTTCAAACCTCTATAATTCAAAACCTCCTTGAGTCAAATGTTTTGCTGGTCCCTTGAAATTTGACTCATGAGGTTCAACTGTGTACTTCAAAGCAAAGAGTTCCCAAATTAAGGTATCAAAAATCTTTTTTTTTGTCAAACAAAACATTATACCTCTACCCAAGCCTAAACCCAGAATGAAATGTAAAAAAATGTGTACACCAGAGAAATTGATTTGAAAAGCACCCAATTCAACCTTACCTGACCTTACATAATCTCACCCAATTCAAGTCACCAAAAAACACTCACTAAATTCCGCCCAAACCTACAAAACACGATTATAGAATCAGAAGAAAACAAAGAAGCTAAGAAAATACGTCCCGGCAAAATTAGTCTCGAAAATCGAAGTCCTCGCCGCAAGAGCAATTTGAATTAACCTCAGCTGATTAAACGTTTCACTTACTTCATTGAAACTTATTCCGGCACCACGCAAGAAAATTAGAAACGAAATCCGAAAATAAAAGAGCGGGAAAATAAGATGATCAACAGATTGAACATGAGAAACACGGATCTCATCATGAGAAAAATGTCGCACAGTTCCAGAAATATTTCTCACTCTTCTCTGAACGGTAAAACGTGTGAAACATCATCATATTTCAAGCAGAATTTACAAAAGCAACGGACTTGGAAAATAATTTCATCGCACTTATATGAGACCATTCAAACGCAAATCTGAAAATAAATTTTGTGAATTGTTAAACTGACCAATTTCAACTTGGCGACTCCGTAATACAATACTGCATGTCTTTTTAAAAAAAAATAATTGAAAAATTAATTGGGCAAATAATAAACCGCTGCCTCCAAGTTTAGCATCCGGTCAACTCATTCAAGAATATAAGCAACTTGAGGCCCAGAATATCCCCAATTACAATTTCCTGCAATTCTTCTATTTTTTTCCCGGAACAAAAATGCTTTTTTCCAAAGCTCAAACCCTCCGAATTCCGTCGATGGTCATTCGTCGAAATTCCAAGGACCAGCATCGACTTGAAAAGTTTCGACTGTAATTCCATGTTTCCCGGAGTCACTGTGTAATTAATCTTCCCCGAAAATGCAAAATTGATTCTCTTTTTTTTTTTTTTTAAACAAGACAAAAACCGCTACTCGATAATCAACTGCAAGTTTTCTCGGCGATGAATTCCGCCACGGACCAACGAGTTCCGCGTTCATTACGGAAACAGCAAGAAAATTGCCTGTCTCCGAAAGGTGCCAATTATGCGCCTACCCTTCCTCAACATGATGGAAATTTCACGCGTCTCGCCTCTACATGCGCAGGTGAGACTCGAGCGACACCTATGTAGTGGCGTAGAAACATCTTTGAGTCTGGAATAATATTAATTGACAATTCTGTAAACGATTTTTTTTTTAAATTCTGCGCAAGTGCGGCAATTTGATCCGGACAAACAGACAGACAGACAGACAAGAAAGTGAGTTCATAAAAACGTGGTAATAAAATGTCGCACAGTTCCAGAAATATTTCTCACTCTTCTCTGAACGGTAAAACGTGTGAAACATCACCATCATATTTCACGCAGAATTTATGAAAGCAACGGACTCGGAAAATAATTTCATCGCACTTATACGAGACCATTCAAATGCAAATCTGAAAATCAATTTTGTGAATTGTTAAACTGACCAATTGCAACTTGGCGACTCAGTAATACAATACTGCATGTCTTTTTAAAAAAAAAGAATTGAAAAATTAATTGGGCAAATAATAAACCGCTGCCTCCAAGTTTAGCATCCGGTCAACTCATTCAAGAATATAAGCAACTTGAGGCCCAGAATATCCCCAATTACAATTTCCTGCAATTCTTCGATTTTTTTCCCGGAACAAAAATTCTTTTTCCCTAAGCTCAAACCCTCCGAATTCCGTCGATGGTCATCCGTCGAAATTCCAAGGACCAGCATCGACTTGAAAAGTTTCGACTGTAATTCCATGTTTCCCGGAGTCACTGTGTAATTAATCTTCCCCGAAAAAGCAAAATGGATTCTTTTTTTTTTTTGAACAAAAGAAATACCGCTACTCGATAATCAACTGCAAGTTTCCCCGACGCTGGATTCCGCCACGGACCAACGAGTTCCGCGTTCATTACGGAAACAGCAAGAAAATTGCCTGTCTCCGAAAGGTGCCAATTATGCGCCTACCCTTCCTCAACATGATGGAAATTTCACGCGTCTCGCCTCGCGTGCTCGATCGGAAAAGGCGAAGAGATCGCCAACTTATTCCATAACGGGTTCCAAACCCATTTTTGTCTTCAAAACAAAAACAAACAAAAAAAAGGAACACAAGTACCTTTTTTTGTCTGTTAACCACTTTCTGGGATAACAGCATCCAGAGAAATTCCCAAGCTTCCGACGAACAGAAAAATCGAATGTAATGAGCTTCACGTGAACATAATTCAGGCCAGCGTGGCAAAAAATCCAAGAGAAATTTCATTCCGACACAAGAGAAAAATTGAACAGATTTCGAGGCAATCGCAGATACTGCGAAAGACAAAACAAAACGAAATTGCCGCACTTGCGCAGAATTTAAAAAAAAAATCGTTTACAGAATTGTCAATTAATATTATTCCAGACTCAAAGATGTTTCTACGCCACTACATAGGTGTCGCTCGAGTCTCACCTGCGCATGTGGAACTGATGGAATTGAACAAGGTTTTTTTTAAGGCATCGTATCCATTATACGAAGGAAAGAAAATGTCATAAATTTCAAATATAATTAACAAAAATTCAGAACGGAGGTCAAATCAATTTTTTTTTCATGGAGAAGTCGTTGAATTTACTGCTATTCTAATGAAGTTCTTTTCCCGCCCAAATTTTTTAAAATATTAAAAAGTAGTTTTCACAAAACCTTTGCTGTGATTCTTTTTTCATCTTCACATATTCTATACCTGTGCTTGGTTGTGGATTTGTGCACAAATGTTTTATTCACTTGTGTAGTCTTTTCAGTGTTACGTAAAAAAACATTTATCATCAAATGACACCATAATTTATTCTGGAAAAACTAGGAACATGTTTTTTTGTGTGCCACGAACTGGTCAATTGCCCATTATTTATTTGTTCCATTGAACCTTCATAATCCATTCTTTTGTTGAGTTTTGTTAATGCCCAACAGCTGCTTCTCACTGTAAAACAACATTTTTTTCAAGAAAATTTGTAATCTAACTTTCCTGAGAGAAGGAAATATTACATGGAATGGTTCTTAAGTTTCATTATTTATTCCAGCCATTGCCCAGCAGCTACTTCAAAGATATAATTAATGTTATTCAGAGAAATAAAACTATTTTTGGCTTTGAATTTGTGCACAAACGTTTTGTTAATTTAAAATATTAGGCTATTAAAATTATGTATTTGGGAGAATAAATGATTATTTTAAAATATTTTAACTTGTTTAGTGTTTTCAGTGTTCCTTGTAAATTTTTAAAAATTGTTCTTCGTCAAATGACAAAATAATCTGTTCTGCTGGAAAAACCCCATCAAACATTCCTGAGAGGAGACTAATAGTACATGGAATGCTTCCTAAGATTCACGACTTATTCCAGTCATTGCCTGGAATAAGTCTGTACTTCAAAGACATAATGAATTTTATTCAGAGAAATAAAATGCTTTCGCATCTTTAGCGTGGATCTAAAAATGACCTTCGCAGCGAGCAGCCCGTTGCACAAAGAAAAATCACGTTCCAGTTCCCGCGGATATCGATAACAATTTCATTGAACAATAAAAAAAAAAAACGCTCGCCGGAAAACAAAGAGAAAAGTTGAGAAACTGTTTGACCCAGCAGAAGAGAATCGTGCAGCCCTGACAAAAAACAACAGCATTCCGTGAGGGAAAACTGCTGGTACAGTATACATCAAAAGAGATTTCCGCCGACAAAAATTGCGTCACGTACGTGGTCAACCGAGGGCAACGTGGCGCGAAGTTTTCTCCGATGCGCTCAGAAGAAGAACTCTTCATTTTTTTGTATTATCTTCGATCCTCAAATTTCAAAGAGAACTTTGAACATGTTCGAAAGCCTCGACATATAACCCCCCCACCATTACCTGATGGAAATTCCATGGGGAATTTATCTGAAGCGAACCCTGACCCCGCCTGAAAGGGATACTATTTTATGGGAAGGGTCACACGTTTCCGCGCGGACTTGAAATGCTGTGCTGAAGATCAGGGATTTTTTTTTTCAATTTTTTTTCTCTCGTTCACCAGTTTCAAAAGGTTAAGCAGACACCTTCTCAATATCAACACCACCGATTTGTACATAATTCTCAGCCCTTTTTTCGATCCATGTGTTGAAAGAGGGCTTTAAATTTTCAGTTTTTATTATTATTTTTTTATTTCGAAGCTTCCCCAAAAACAGCAGTAACAAGCTGATCCGCGCGGATTCGTGTAACCCTTCGTGCACGCGAAAATGAATCGAATATTTTCAAAACGCTTTACTTGCTGGGCTTTTCTGTCATCACGACCAAGTTCTTTGGATTTTTCACTTGGATGGTTGAAAAAAGCTTTGAAATTTTCTGAAAAAAAAAATCCTGAGAAGACTAATAATCTATATTTCATGGTTATACCTTTCCCGATTAAAAACAAAGATTGCTGTCATGGAATTTTTTTTGTTACGAGGCACAGCATACGTTTATTTTTACTGCACGTACGCCTACAAACTTGTTACATTGCGTAGCGATACTTCATTTTTGCATAGTTATTTTCCAATGCTGTTGTCCAATGCGACAATTCTTCAGGCTGGAGAAAATGTGGTTCCTCTGTACAGCATTTCTTTCATTTACAAAATTACTCAATTTTTGCGCATTCTCTTTGATATAGAAAAAAATCTTGGAAAAGTTTCTCGAATGCTGTTTTCATACGACAGGTCTTCAAGCAGGAGAAAATGTAACTCTCTTCGTATTTTTTTCTTTCATTTGAAATTTTATTGAATCTTCACACATCCCCTTTGATGTGAGGAAATAAAAATATTTCAACAGCTCTGCTGCGTTAAAAAGTTACGTGAATACTGAGAAAGGTTCAGAGCAAACTGATCAAAATTCATTAATCAAGTAATTGAAACATTTTATAGATTCGTATTTGGATGGCATTCATTGGTACAGTATTTCAAAAGCCAATTTCTAATTGGTAGGGAAATCGAATACTGTACATAATAGGGTGATCGGAAAAAAATTAGGGAGAGGAGGATTTTGAAGTCCATTTTCTCCTAGTACCTCAGAATTCAATTTCGAATATTAAATTACATCGCAATTGATCAGATGAGCGTATTTCCCTGACGGCTTCTATACTGGGTGAAGCAGGAAAATTGACAAAGATTTTTTAACGCAGAAATCTCAAAAAGATTGAGATCTACAACTTGCAAGAGCGAATTGGGGCTTATTCTTCTCATTCATGGCTGTAGCTACATTTGTCTGATCCCCTCAGCAAACTTGATTTCAAAAAGAAATCCCTGGAAAGATGCACATTGTTTTTCACGACGACCTTGTGTGAATTTTCATCTTGTCAAGTTATCTGAATTCCGCAAAAGTTAATATCATGCATAGATACTGTTCAGTACTTTTTTTATAGTTGAAAGAAAAGGAACATACCTCCAAAATATGTGACTGGAATGGCACAGAAGAAATATCCAATGTCGTAGAATGATGCAATGAGCCCACTTTCCGTCGAGCTGAGCTGGAATCGTCTTTCCACAGTCGAAATGATGACATTCACGAGTCCGTTCACAACCATTCCTGCAAAATTCAGATTGAAAAAAACGAAGGGGTTCATTTCAAAAAACGTTTCCAAAATATCAATAAAGTTCAACCTCAACAACTCGAACCTCCCTGAATTGAATACCTTCCTCAGGTCGACTTTTTTTTCTTTCTTCAAGTCACTGTCTGAATTCCCTCAGGAACAATGCATTAAAAACCTCCCTACAACTCCAAGGCTTTCCCTCTCAAACCTCGTCAATAATTCGAATTTTCTGGAGGCCTTTTTGGCTAATATTTCATCAAAACATGAAATAGAAAAGTCATAAAAATTCAACTTTGTGTTTTGAAAGAAAGTGAGAAGACTAATTGGGCAAACGAACCCTCGCCTCCGAGTTCAGCAACCCATCGACTCATTCAAAAATGTATTTAAGGCCCAGAATATCATTAATTACAATTGCTGGTAATTCCTCTTCCTTTTTTCCCCAACAAAAATGCTTGTTTCCCGAACTCAAAACATTTATACTTCAAATTCTTTGCTGGTCCCTCGAAGTTTGGCTGGATCATCATGCAAAAGATTATTTAAAAAGCGGCACAACGTGAATTCCTACGAAGCTGACGTCACTCAATAAATAAACAAAACTCTACTGTACTGTACTGTATATCGTACAACGCTCTGCTGCATTTCAATTTCGCAGAAATCCCCTCAAACGTCACGAAAGATCAAACTTTTCAATGCGTTACGGTCGAACAAAGCTCACAGCCGTTATCCACGGATGAATGCATTAAAAAAAAAACACCTTCACCCCAGCACGTAAATGATTCAGAAAGGGTCAAGGAACTCAAAGTCATGTTTCCAAAGATAAAGCTCACAGTTTATCCAAGCGCCCAACTGAATGAAAAGAGCAGTTTTTAGATTGGAATTAAAAAAGTCTGGGAAATCAAACTAAAAGAACAAACCGATAATTTTTCAGACATTTTGGACAGATCCACGTTTCTGGCAGTAATTTCAGGAAATGGGGGTGGGTTTGGGGCTATGGAACAGAACAGGATGCAAAATATTCCAACACGTTCTTGAGAAATTTTGACCAATTGCCGGAAAAAATCTTGAAAACATTCATCACATAAAATTTCCAAAATTGTAAAAATAATGAGATAAATACGGTTTGTTCTCGTATTCCTGAGTAGTTTGCCTCCATGCGTGCAGCCTATCTTCAAATATCTCTGTTATTTGTCACAAAAGGTAATTTGGCCTACTGGTACTCATTTGTACTTCAGTCTAGGGTGGCCTGAATACCCTCCTCCAGGGGTATCCCCAGATGAGCTGTTGCTCCCGTGAAGTTCAGATGGGTTCTGAGGGTAGGGGATCCTGGTAGCCACATATGGGTCAGTATTTTCAGTGAAGAGAATTAAGTTAGGTAAGTAGTAACCTTCCCCAGGCTAATGGTGCCCTTGCCTGGGGGTTTGTTATTATAGGCCACAGTAGAATTCCTCACCCAACAATAAAAAAAAATATAATTTAAAAACTGGATCAGTGGTCAATTAATTCGTAAGCGTTAAATACAGAAATATTTAGTCATAAAGTCAACTCACCCTGAATGAAACTGGCGAGACAGAAACAAAACAGCATCCAAGCCGGGGTCCGGAATCTTTTCGCAAATTCCGGCCGCCATCCGCCGCAACCGCAGGCTTCGTCCTTGGCGTCGTCCTCGTCATCGCCGCCTTCAGCAGCAGCCGCCCCCGAAGCAGTTGACTGCTCACGGCGCCCCAATCGACCGCCACTGCCATTATTCATCGATATTATCGTCACAGCGTTTCCGGCGGTGCTGGGGTCGCCGTTGGGCTGCTGCTGGCAACACGTCGATTCGCCGCCATCGCCGAGCGACACTTCGTCGAACAAGTCGAACTCGGCTTCCTTGAATCGACGCGGCGGCTGACGCTCCAGAGTGCCAGTGTCGTCACTCGAATCCTCGTCAGCAGCGTCGAGTCCATTCTGAGGGATTCCGGATGCCGAAGACACCATGATTTCCTCCTGATGTTGAAGAGTTGCAAGAAGAGAAAAAATGTGGAAGGTTCTAAAGTTATTTCATTTTCCTCAGCGGCAGTATAAAAATCCAAATCGAAAAAGGCAAGATTTGGCAAATTCGCGGGTTTTCTGGGACACTATAAAAAAAAACGAAATGGATTCGGTTATCTGAATTAGAATAAAAAATAATTATTCGTCAAACTACAGAATTTACACGAATACCCGAATAAATTGATTACAATTCTTTCCTCGTGCTTTGAAAGTTTAACCTATTTTGCCGGCAAATATTAGAAGCCCTTTATTTCCGTTACATTTCTTCGAAATGAAGCAAGTCTTTTGCTTCTAACCACGATATGAAGTCATCAATTTCCTCGGAAAGTTGAAATTGAAATTTTGATTACGGTACAGCATACTTATCACGCCTTCAGAATTAAAAAGGCCGCAAATAAAGTCAATGGTGGGGGACTTTTTCATTCGAGCGATTTTTCTTCCGAACTCAGACGCAATTAAACACTTGACCTGCGTATCTTAGATGTCATTAAATCGAGGCAATTCTTCACAATTTAATCAAATAAATTATTTGAAAAATGCTTAATTCTAGCAAATTTTTGAGATGGAATTACTGTACGGTTTTTACGAGAGGAAATATTTGAAGCCGTACACCTTGTTTTAAGTTTTAATATGCCTTAATTAAATTTGTAAAGGAAGATTTGAAATTATAATTGTCGAACAAGATCTAGATGAAGATTTTCAAGAACAGGATAAATGAATTCAACACAGCAATTGGCTGGTGCGCGAACCGACCAGGGATTCTCTCCCAAACAGCGCAAGCCTTTGTTAACAGATCGACAAGTTGAATTGAATACAAAATATGCACAACAGTTTTCCGCAGTAAAATATGCACAACAGTTTTCCGACTTAGTAAATTTCTCAGCAGGGACAAATTTTACGAACACAACGTAACGCTTCGCACGCAAAATTTTGAATTGAATACAAAATATGCACAACAGTTTTCCGCGGTAAAATATGCACAACAGTTTTCCGACTTAGTAAATTTCTCAGCAGGGACAAATTTTACGAACACAACGTAACGCTTCGCACGCAAAATTCGGACTGTGTGTTGGGCTCAAAAATCAGGGGGTTTTATTCTGAAAGAATGGGGAGGAGTTAAAAGTACCTGCAGGACGTCCCAGGAGCTGGGTTCTGGGGTGGCGAAAAACACCAGGTGTTGGTGTTTTTCGAGAAACTCAAACTTGTTTTTGGAAAAAATGAGGCTCCCGAAAACCGGGTGTTTTCTCAATTTGGCAGGATTGTCGGAGTGCTGCGCATGTTTGGGGAGACGGCGACAAATTGTTTAAGAACCAGAGAAAATGTTTTTCTTGGTCATAAAAATGAGAACGAAAAAATGTTCTTGGAGTGTTAAACGACCAGCAGCTGGCAAAATCTGGTCTCCCCCCTTTTAGGGTAGTTGAACTCCTGGGGAGTTGGCGGGAACGAGGGGTCATTTGACCCCCTAGCTGGAGTCATTGGCCCAGGGGTGGGTTTGTATTTTTATTGTCGGCAGTTTCTGCCGAATTGTAAAGTTTCAAACTTTTGGGACCCTGTCAAAGGGATATCTTGCAGCTGGAGACGCGTCCCGAGACGCGTCAATAGTGCGAAGAAACTCTGGATCTGTTTTCTTCAGAAAAAATTCCGCACAAAAACCAACAGAAAAACAAATGCAAGAATTTAATGACAAAATATGCGTATTCATTAGACAAACAACAGAAGAGCATTTGCTGCAACTTCAAAATTTGCGTTGAAACACATTTACCATTATTAACACGTGAAAGCAGCAAAAGCCAAAACTTGCTCCAAGTAATTCCCTCAACTAGTAAAAAAAAAAGTAAAACCACAAAATTAACCTCATTTCTGAAGAACAACGTCACTAAAAAAAAAAAGAGGAAGGAAGCGGAAGCTGCTGGTGAACGGAAAAGAATGAGGGAAATTTTCGGGGGTGCGATCATAACTCTTGCGTGTGTGTGTGCAACGGGGTCAATCACGCTCCAATTGCTGCGAAAATGATACCCCCGGCATCGGAACGCTGTTGCATACTTCATTTTTACCCTCCACTTTATATCCTAGTCTTCATCTATTTTTTGGCGAGAATATAGAGGGGGTGAAAAAGCACATATATGCCCCAGGGTTGCACTGCTGATGCTCCCCGTCATCATCATCATCATCGTCTTCCTTCCTTCCTCAGCTTTCTTCTTCTTTCTTTTTTGGAGCCTTTTTTCTATCTTTTCCGATTTTGCATGCCTTTGGAAGCCGGGAAAACATGAATACAAGGTGGCCAGCCATGCCGAGTCTCCTGTGAAGTCGACAGGGTCTGTTGTGTGTTTATATATACTCGAGTGAGATGGTCTCAAAATTGCTTGCACATCCGTCGCATTTACCCCAGCTTTGTGATTGCCGAAAGGGAGATAGCCTTTAATAATGTCCCGGTTTATCAGCAACAATAAAATAACTCCCATAAACGTTGAGCCAAGAATATTCTAATTTCAAGCTCGAACAAATTGTCCAATGTGATGGATTGCGGTCAAGCATCTGCGTATTTTTTGGGGACGTCTTTGATGTCGTAGCTTCAATTTTTATTTTTACTCAAGCGCATTTTTTCATGTCAGTCGCGGAAATTCTCCGAAATAAAAACAAAATCGAGAAATTGCGAAAATTATTCAGTAACGACATTGGAAAAGTCCCCTGATTCCGCTGATGATAATTTTGCGAGAACAGCAAAATTTTGGTTGTCTCGAAGGTTGTGCAAAACTGAGACAGTAAAGCTGTATTGACTTCATTAAAAAAAATCTAAACGACGGGAAAATATCGCCCACACTGCTAAGCATTGCATTTTTTCGTGAATTGAAAAAAAAAACTCGCAAAGCTTTTGTAACAAAGGCAAGGACAATTTTTTTTATTTTTTCAAACCTGCCTGCAAAAGAAAAATTTGTAAATAAATCGGAGAAATTAGACATCATTCGCAAATTATTGACTCAACTACATGACGTGAATTTCCGTGCCTTTTTCATCACACTAAACCTAGGTGTTGAAGCTGCACCTTGAAATGTCCTCTGAGATTGTAGAATTTGTATTTGAAATTGTTTGATAGGCAGGCAGTTATTTTCCTGGACCTAAAACCCCATTTTTGAA